TTGTGACATCTCCATTCATTTTAATAAATTGGATTGAAGTCGAAAGGCCAATTCGTTTAGTTAATGGATCAAATTTAAATATGTTCCGATTAGATTCGATCTATTAATTATGAAATATTATATGTTATATATTATATGTATATTTTATATATAAATATATTCTATAATATTATTTATATTATATCATCATTTTTTTACTTCAATCCAAATTAATTATCCAATAAAATATTTGAATTCGAATTCAAATAATGATTTTGGAAGTCCAACGGATTCTTATTGAATTTGGATTGGTCAGATTTCTAATTATCGAATAGAATTGGATATACCCTCTATCGAATTGGATCTTATCTCTTTGTAGCCCCATATTAAAATGTCCGTCTACAAAATTCTTTGCCACTAAAACATGTTTCAACACCCTATCAATATACGTTGATATCACATATCACCATGAGACTGAGACCCACCATAAAAGTGAGACCCATCATGTATGTTGCTTAGGAGCATGGTTCAAAGTATTCATACACCTCTGTGCATGGCACTTAATCTTGTACCTTTTAAGTTTTTTAGTTTTTTTTTTTAATTTTGGTTTTAAGACTTTTTAATATATATTATTTAATAAAAAAATTAAAAATAGTTATAACAATGTATATTAAATCCTAAAGATATGATACGGTATGCCTGATATGAGATGTATTGTATAAATAATTTAAACTATCAGCTAGTTGATTTCCCTTGAGAAAATAATGTATTTGCAAAAGTACCCAAAATCATCACCTCTATTTAATGCATTGAAATCTCCTTCCCCACTTAGGGGTATCAACGATATTTGAAAATTTGATTTCAAATTTGATATTTGAAATAATTGAATCGAATTCGGATAATTCAAATATCTAATCAGTCGAATTCGGATATCCTATTCATACCGAATAGTTAATTAATTAATCGAATTCGAATCAAATCAAATATTCGAATATGGATTCAAATTCGGATATTAATTTTTAATATCCGTCGGATATCAAATATTCTAATCGGATTCAAATTCTGATATTGCTTGGTCCGATTCGAATTCAATCCGTTTACACCCCTATCCCCACCCACTATCACCATGGTGGTATGGTCGGCATACTGGGTCAACATGACTTTCCATGACTGTTCGATCCACTGAACGTGGACCATAAATTTAAACTATGACCCAATAAGAAGAAAACATTAAGAAAAAAAGAAAGAAGAAAAAGAAGAGAAGGGAATGAAGGACAAAGATATTCTCTCTCTAGTCTCTACCCTCTAAAGTCCAAACAAAGGTAACCAGGCCTATTCCAAATAAGGACAAAGCAAACACCAGACAATCAACGGTCGAATGCAAAACTTATATGTTGCAATTAATTTAACCGTTGGATTGGATTTTTCATGTTTTCACATGGAAAATTAACATGGTTTTAAAACATGACTCGGAAATGCAACCATTTTAGACACCGGTTTTTAGATTGATGGTTCGACCGTTCAATATGAATGGACGGCTTGTTTTGACAACGAAAAAATAAAAAAATAAAAAACAGTTTAAAACTGTTGAACGGATTAATAATTTAACAGCTTAAATCAATAAATCATTGATTCAGTGGTTTTTAACCAGAAATTGGATTTGGGGTAAAATAGAATTAATTGCCTAAATGATTTTTTAGCCAAACAGTTTGACTATTCGGGTCAATGGCAATTCGAAAATCATGAAAATTAATGTCGAAGACTTGATACCAGGCAACCAAGAACCTTGGATACTCAAAATGTGGCTAAAAGAGAACAGCGTTTAAACAAGGAATAAGGACAGAGAGGGGAGGATATATCATATATTAATATCCTTAGATTCTGATCGTTGATATGCGGGAGAGTAGATGCTGATGGTGTAGTCAAGGGTCCTGATCTAGTAAAGGTGGGGTCCCTCACTTGTGTGGAGAGGTTTCTCACCATTGGATTGGCCTCAGAAAGGACATATAGACAACTCAAGGTTTCTCACCATTGGGGTCCCTCACCTGATCTATTAAATATTGTTCCAACGACAAAAAGACAAGATTGAGGGTCTTAATAATGGCAGCCCATTTATAGCTTATTGCTATAGGCGGTGGAGGACCTGATCCATATGGAATCCAAAATTTTGCCAAATAAATTAATCCTTTGTTTGGTTTTAGAAAAATGTAGGAAATGGTTCTTTACCAAACAAAAAAAAAAAAAGAAAATATGTGGGAAAAAGAATGGAATCTTGGGAAACTAAACCTGGTACTTAGGATAAATTATAGACACCCTACTTATGGGGCCTAAAACTTGGTCCTCTGAACTTCTTTTTGCAGCAAAGGCCCAAATTATCAAATTACCCCTTTGAGATTCTATAGACTAACAGACAAAAATAACACTTGGTTATGTTAATGCATGCTGACATTTAAAGATCAATCACTTGCTTTCAAGTTTTTAAAACTGAATCGAACAATGAATCGGTTAGGAGTCCAATTCTTGGATTGAATGATTTGATCGTTCAAATTAAATAGATAGTTCATTCTAATAAAAAAGTAAAAAATTTAAAAAAATAGTCAAAACCGTTGGATAGTTTGAATGGTTTGACTGCCCAAATCAATGATTTGCTGATCAAATCAACGATTTTTAATGAAATAATAATTTTAAGATAAAATAGAACTGGTCACCTGATTGATTCCCGATTTTTCTGATCTGATCATCCAATCTGATCTGGTTTTGAAAACTATGTTTGCTCTAATTTTCTAGTTCAATAATAATTCCATGGTGGGTGTGGATCCTCTACCAGCCTTTGTTGAGAGGATGTTAGAAGAGTTAGTATTGTAGAAAAGGGTTTGGCTATGATACCGGAAAAGCTTATAAGCAATCAATCAGTATCATTAAGTATTCAGATGTGATCGTAAGAATGTCGCAATAGCCATTGCAGACGTACACCAGGCGCACCAGGATGTTGTTGGGACCAAATAGAGTGGTAACAAAGCAAGTGGTATTCATCAAAATTTATTGAGGGGTTTGATCTGTCAAAGCTCTTTATTTTTATTTTCTTTGACATCATAAAAGTTTGGGGGGCAAAGTGTAATTATATTAAATTAAACTAAAGTTTGACCAAAAAGTAACTAACCCCATATATGAAACCGAGGTCTGACTGAAGCTTAATTTGTTCACTCCATTTGTATCATAGAACAAGTGTTCTTTACTCTTTAGTTAAATATAAGGATAAAAGCTCATTGGACTGAAATTTTGTCAAGTGGGTGGAACCTTGGTCCAACCACAAGTTTCAAACTTTCAATTATATTTATCTACTAATTATAAATGTATAATTGGAATAAAAAAAAAGGGAGAATAATAGTGGAAATCAAGAACAATTAGTCGCATAAACATATAGTAGCAAATAACCATTCTATAACAATTGTTACTGCAACATATGCAATTATGGATAACCAGTGCATTTGTTCGAACAACATTAAGCTAGGAAGCATCAGTGTTGCATAAAAAAGGATGGAACTGTAAATGGGTCTTTCTAGATTTGATGAATTCCATCCTATTAATATTAGAATTCAAATTGAATCTCATTATTAATTAGTTAAACTAAAAATGACTAGAAATTTGTATTTTATTAATAAATAAAGTAAAATGACTTAAATATTATATATTATTAATAGAATAAACTATGGTAGAGAGAGAGAGAGAGAAAGTGCAGAAATTGCAGTGAGGGATGTTTGTCTTACCCGGTTGTCATATTCAGAATGCCTTGCAATACAGATGGTCACACGAATTTCAAGTACAGCCTCTTATTTCTGTTTAGTGGCGCTGAGGACGCCATCCGTATTTACTATTTACCATGCAGATACGACACAATTGTATACGTAATAGGCAACTACTATAGTCCACCCACAATCTCTCCACTTCCACTTGTGTGTGTTCTATGATCTATCCTTTGCCAATGAACACACCCTCTGGAATTCTTACCAGAGGAGAACAGAAATTGTAATTGCACTCATCAGAAGCTATTCTTCATGTAACAATCTCTACCATTTCTATTCAACCCAGAAAAGCCAAGTCCATCTATAAGATAGTTTTAGTTGGTTTGATTAGGATGAGGACTTCGATTGCTACAGACTACTAATACTAAACAAAGAGAAGAAAGAAGGCTAATTGGACCGATACAGACTAATGATTCGATGAGGCGTGCATGGAGTTGAAACTTGAAAGAGTCCAACACTTCAACATCAATGGCTTAAGCTGATGCAGGGCCCCGGATGGATCGCAACAAGCTTAGTTTGTTAGCTGGAAAGGACGAGACGAGCGACCGGGTTTGGCTTGGCTGCATTTAAGCCACGCGTGTCTTGGGCATAGTACTCAAAATGCTGCTGGGTTTTGTCCAAATGCCAACAAATGTGCGGCTCGTTTCAGTTCAAGGGCCGGTGCTTCCTGCCTATTGTTATCTACTGTTTCACTTTCACGCATGGTTTTCGACAGAAATCCTAAAAGAAAATTTCAAAATTGATTGATTCCCTCTTGAGGCTTTGACCTATCTCAGACTCAGTAACTGAGTTCTGACCCTCACCGAGGCCAACCCCAAATGAAGATATGCACCGTAAACTTCCCTCCGCTCATTCTTATTTGCCGAGTTGACTCAGGAATCAATATATATCTCGGCAACCAAGAGAGACAAACAAAGACAGCAAGACAATGTCATAGACTCATCATAGGAGACTGTAGACCAAGTTGCAGAGATGAAGCTAACCTAGTAAATGCAGTATTGAATTATTAAATCATTGTTGTGATTATTGTAACAATATCATATCCAACTTCCCCAAAAAACATTGGTGGTCCAAAAGCCAGAAGTGTTGCAGTCTTTTAATTCAGGTTTCAACCTTCAACTCCAACTCATTATTGGGTCAAGCGATCCTGATCTCCTTTCATTCACAGTGCCCATGACATCAATGCGCTTAGCTTTTAGTAGTTGAGAATTTAGAGTATGAAAAGTAAAGAGACAGGCAAAAAGCCCATTAAGGCAAAAAGCCGCTCACACCAGCCTCCCTTAATACTAATCTGTAAATCATCACAGCACAACTACCTTCCCTTACCCTGTTCTCAGTTTCCCATGAAAACACAGACAATTCTCTCTCTCACTCTCTCTCTCTCTCTAAATGAATTTTGTAAAAGAAAACACAATCTCCAATAATTAAATAGATTAATTAATAATGATCACAATAAGAAAAAGGGATCCCCCGACTCACTGAGTCTGACTGTGATTTCAGAAATTCAATCCACTTAACTCGTTGTGCTCATGGTAGGGGAAGGGCGCAACCATGCCGAGAAAAACCAAGCCATGACCTTTCTCTATCGAACTCAAACAAGAAGCCTTGTTGCATTAGGTTCCCTATGACTGAGAAACCTGACGGGGAGGTAACAGGTTGCATCGCCAGGCACTTGATGCCTTCAGCCGCATCGATGAAGTAGTTTCTAGCCGGCGGGGAGAAAACTGAGCCCCCATCGAGTCGGAAACTCAGCTTGGGTAGCCTTGGATTTGCTACACCCGACACATTGACGCAGAGGTCGAGGCTCGAAGCTGGGTCGGTCGTTCTCGGTAATTTAACTCTTCTTCTAAAGGCTGTCAGAACCTGCCGGTAGGCTGGCTCGGCGAGGAACGTTAATGTAGTGCCGGAGTCGATCACAGTGCCGCCGTTTCCCTGGTTGTCTAAGGCCCAAATGGAGGGGTCAATTGGTAATCCCACGCCATCAACAAATACGCTCTTGATTCCTACGTAGTAGAACGAGGGCGAGAGAGGGTTGGTGTGTAATGGCGTGAAGCTCATCCTTTGCTTCTTTGTAATGGGTCCATGTGTTTCTCCGATCAACAGATAGCTTGTCGGAGGTGGAGATATGGTGTAATCCTTGAGACAGTACGAGAATTTGTTCCCGAACAGCTTACCTACTTGGGAGGAGAAGGAGACGGGCCCTCGCCCCAGGCCCATAACTCCATGGGCGCCATTGAAGCTCGCATCTGAAACACTCGGACCAGAGACGTTGAACCCACAACCAAAAGCAAGGTCTTTCAGCCGAGCAGCTCCTCCATAGCTCGTATTCAACGTCGTCGTCTCTGTGGCAAAAAGCCCACTTGTTCTAGACCCATCGGCGTACGAGTAGTCGTAGCGGCAAGTACTGTGGAGGCGAGTGTGGTTACAGGGCTGGTGTTTCAGAGGGTGAGGGACGTGTTGACACGCTGAGTCGTAACAGTGAACCGGAGCAAATGTTGTTGAATGGCGAGCCAAAAAGGCCGAGCCTGGAGGGTGTTTACTACAGTTCCAGCAAGCAGAACACTTGACCCAGACGAGATCGCTGCCTGTATCCGCCACAAGGAGGAGGCTCTGAGGTGGGGTTCCGATCCTGAAATCGACGAAATACTGGCCGGAGCCCGTCGATGCGCCGGAGACAATGGGAGCCTTGAAGGCTCTACGGTTGCGCAGGGCCGAGAAAAGAACAGAGAGACGCTCAGAGTCCAAAGAGAGAACTTGTGCTGGGGAAACAAACGGGTTTCTGTGAAGCAATCGTAGTTTCAAGTATTCCACTGAGCCGCTGTTGTTGAAAGCAGCCTGGGCATTAATGAAAGAGAAGAGAAGAACAAGGGGAAGAAGGAAAACGCGTGGCAGAGGAACACGTACCACCATTGTTTGAGAAAGGAAAAAAAACGAAAGAAGGCGGAGGAGGAGAGAAAGAGATGGGCTCTGGAATGGTCTGGTCTTAAGTGCGGTATTATATACGTATCTGTTGCGTATATACATTATATCAATTCGTCGTCTAGTGATTGCAGGATTATACGGTGTACAAAGGATAGAGACGACAGTCGACAGATGCATGGATCGTGGAGCGAGTGATCGATCATGGAGCCATCAGTCATGGATGATGGACCAACGTCATAAGCTCACAGGAGCTCCACACGCCTACTCAGTCACCACCACCGGCACCATTCTCTCTGCAACCACCACTGCATATTAAATGTACCACTGCTTAGGAGGGGGGGGTGCAGCAAAATGCTGGCATTAAACTCCTGGGTCCCACAAGGGTATCAACTCCAGAAACTCCTGACACGTGGCAAGTTTGGAGGATCCGAACCACCGCTGAATTGAGAGGTCATCTAGGCCAAAAGGGCTGCATAGTTTGGGTTGGTGTTATAAGAGAAAAGTTTCAGATTTTGGAAATTCTATCCATTTTAATCTAATAGGTATTTTTCACTTTATAAAATATCAGTTTTAATATATTTATATTATTTATTTTTGTCAGTTTATGCAAAAAAAAAAGTACTATTTCTGATGAAAGTAAATATACGACAAAATCCTGAGATTCCAAAGTTTCATCTGAAACAAATCCGGTTCAAAATTCAAATCAAAGTCAAAACCATGATCTTACTAAATGTTATCTTGGTGCTTGGTGTAATTCACTACTAAGTTTTTGAAAAAATCAACCAACCCCCTCCCTGTCCTTGAAGTCATTAGTTTAGTTGGGTAAGGAGTGACATAGTGTATTAAGACTCTGGCTCTGATCCAAAATCCCAACACTTTTTAATAGAAATGTTATAAAGAAATGGTGATTACCCAATGTTGGTGCTGGCTATCCTGGTATTTAGGGGAAGGGGGAGATGGGCAATGAGACAAGGTCATTGCCTAACTTTGACATTTTATTTTATTTTTTTGCATGAAATGGTCATTCTCAGGGTTGAATGCATATTCTCATGTTTGTGAGGTGAGGGTTTTACACCATTGGACCAAAATACAATAATACCGATGAAAGATTTGGCAGGAGCTGATTTGGGCCTTGGTCCAGTCTGGGGTTTTATGTCCAGTCTTCAACCTTCCAAATTCCAATACTAAACTTATCATTAATCTTTCTCTCTTTCTCTCTCTCATTGTTGTCTTGTAGTCTTGTATTGCAATAGGGCTTTGATCCCCATAATTCCAAGGTGTCATGGGCCAAGAGGGTCAGCATAGGATACATGCAGGGCCCACTAAGTTAACACGAGGAAGCTGCTTTTCCCTGTAGTTTGAACTTTGAACCCGTGCCTTATCGATTGGAGGGATGCCAACTGGCAACTGGTCACCCAGACTAGACAGTTATTGGCCAACTTTTAATGGGCCCTATCTTGTCACTTGTGTATTTTAGTGTGTCTTTGGTGCTCCCCTGTGTTTCTTGCTAGATTTCCTTTTTCTTTTAATGAGGTAAAAAGGTGTTGATTTCATCCTTTGTGAAGGCTTGCAACATGGCTGTACAACTTATGTGTTCTTGGCATTTGGATTCAAATTTTATATATAGATTCTATATTGGTTAATTATGATATGGCGCATCAGCCAGACATGTGAAACCTTACATCTAGGAGCTGAAAGTTTGGAAATTGGACCAGTATTATGAGTAGAATTGAATTGGTAGACAATTAATTTGTAGTCTTTTGCCCCACAGACATTTTGGGATCTATAAAAAGACATACTACAAGACAAAGCTGAACATGTTCTTTCATGGGTGTAACATTGTCTGATGGGTGAAAAAGAATCCTAGAAAATGCATAAACTTGTTTATTAATTAACATCCTATTTTAAATAAAGTCCCCATGATATAACAATAAACAGAACAGAATGGTGAAGTGGGGATTCATGTGACCGACCCTATATAGTTGGGACAAGGCTTAGAAGGTGTTCAATTTCAAAATGAATACTTTTATTAAGAATTCTTGCACAAAAGTACTAATGTCATTATTGAGTTATGGAAATCAAAGTAACTCCAAAATCATACAAGGTTTAGGTGAACATACATGTTATGCCCAAACTGACATGTCGACATATCGTTATTACGATTAAAAAGAACAATGGAGATATTCTTTTTTTTGCACTACTATAACTACTATTTCTATTTTTTATTATCTTTTAAAAATCCTCTAAATGATGTTCAATATATATATATAATGTTATGTTTTTTTTTTTTTATTTTAATAAAAATATTTTGACGAAGTACTATACCAAAAATTCAGCGAAATCTATAAATTTAGTTAAAATTTTTGAGACCAATATTTGATGATTTTGATTCTGTTTCCCTAGAAAAGTTCAAAATTCTGCAAAATTAAAAACAATTGTCGCGGCTGCTTTGAAGTTAGATTTTCTTTTCTAAAATAAAGTCATAAAAATGCAATATTATTTCCCTTTCTCAATTAGTCTTTCCTGGAGATTGATGCGGGACGTCATTCTTCTTGGGTGTGAAGCACTCTAGACCTTGGAATGCCAAAATCCTCCTCAAGGGAAATACTAGTCTTAGATAGGTGTGTCAATTGGACTGGATTTGGTCCAATCCGATCCAGTGTGAGTTTATTACAAACGGATCAGGTCCAATTCAATCCAATGAATATTTTGGATCGGTCTAAATCAATGTTTGGATAATCTAATCTGTTCAAATTTGTTTTAATTTAGATTAGTTTCAATCCAATTTCGATTCATTCACATCTATATTCTTATCTTATATCAATGGAACAGATATTGGTTTAATCCAATCCAATATAAATTTATTATGGATGGACCAGGTCCAATCCAATCTAATAAATTTTTTAGACTAGATTGGTCCAATCCAATGTCTTGATGGTCTGTGGTCCGTTCAATCTGTCCAAATTGATTTGGATTGGATGGGGTCCAATTCAAAACCGGTCCATTGACACCCTTAATCTTAGATGGTGAGCTGGTACTGTTCCTTGTGTTAAAATTTTGGGACATTTTGAGGCCCTGAAGATGCAGATCATCTCCTCTAAAACAGTCACGATGACCCATTGCAAGTACTACACCCTCGTTGAGATATGGTCAAATATATGATTTTTAGAGAGAGATCATATGATAATATATATTGACTGAAAGACAAATTAATAAGTCATTTGATTCAGCCATTTCAGTTGTAATCAAATGATCCCTAGCTAAGAGAGGTAGAAAACAATGTTGGCCTTAAAAGGGGTGAAACAAAACTGAAGTATCTATCTATCTATCTATCTACTATATATATACATATTAAAATAAAAGCGGTCAAGAAATTTTTTCCTTTTTTTGAAATTTCTATTTTTTTTATTCTCTGTCATTTTTGAAACAACCAATGAGATGCACTTTCCCAATAACCTAAATAATCTTTTTTCCTAACATTACTCCTAAACTACCTCCCCCACTTTCTCCAAAATTATCTTTAAATCCTATTTATCTTCTAAATTATCTCTAATTTCTATTTATCTCCAAAATTATCTCTAATTTACTAGAGATTTTCTCTCCTAAATTATCTCTAATTCCTATTTATCCTCTCCCCTAATTTTTATCTATATCTATCTAAAGAAAGTTTGGATTATAAATTTAAGAATTATTTAAATATTCTAACAAAATTATATAATAACTTTAAAATATTTATTAAAAATACAAAAAATAATTTTATATTTTTATAAAATATATCACAAAATTATTTACTAACAATTTAAATTATATTTTCCGGATTATCAATTTGAATAATTTAAATGTTTTCCGGATTATCAATTTAAATAACTAAATATTTATCATAACTAGATTTTAAATAGTTAAAATAACAAAATTAATAATAATTTAATATATTACAAAATTAATAATGAAATTATGTAATAATAGTATAAATTATGATTTTATGGATAATTAAATTCAATAAATAATTAATATTTTAAAATTTAAATATTTTACAGATTATTTAAGTATTTAAATAAATAAATATTTTAAATAATAAAACATTTAACATAACTATATTTTAAATAGTTAAAATAAATAAAATATGTAATAAATTTGAAAAAATTCTAAAAAGTAGAAAATTAATTATAACATAATATTGAAATTAATAATAATTTAATATTTTTACATAATATTGTAAATAAATAATTTCACTTATATCAATTAATAATTTGAGAAAATAACTTTCAAAAAAATTAATATTTATTAATTATAATTTTAAACTCTTAATCTGTATTTATTATATAATTATATATACTAAAATTTATATTTATTTTCTTTTGTGATAAATGTATTTTCAATGATTATGTATAAATTTATTTTTCTGTTATTTAATAGAAAACTTTCAATAATTATTGGAGATTAAATTACTATTATTAAAATTTTTAAATTTAATTTATTGTACTTATTGAATTTTTGTTATAAGTTATTGATTAATATTTATTAGAGATTAAACTATTATTTGAGATTATAGTATTTATTGACTAGTTAATATATTTTTAGTACTTATTGTATTTTTGTATTTTTTGCAATTATTGTATTTTTCATTATCAATATATTTTCAATAATTGCGTATTTTTCTATAAATTTTTAATAATAATTGGAGATCAAACTTTTGTTATTTATCAGAGATAAGACTATTAATTTAGCTGAAATTATGACTGTTCATGAGTTGGTTTGGTTCAGTCGTAGGCTATTTGGCTAGCCAAATTGACCTAGTTAGGTTAGGGAGTTGGTTAGTTGAAACCAACCAACATTTTGTGAAAACTGACCCACTCAAGTTGTATCGGTTTGGGCCTATTTTCTGGTTTGGTCAGTCTGTTCAAAAGATTTAAACTTAAAAATTTACTTTAATTTTAAAAATTATAGTGCAATTATTAAAAAATAAATTTAAAAATTATATTTAGAATATAAACGTTAATATATATACATATATCAGGTTAGGTTGTTCGATTTTGGTCGGTTTACAACTGGCCAAAGCGAAACTAATCCAACTTGGCCAAATTGGGAAATTTTTGATCCAAAGCCAACCTAAAATACTAGAAAACCGACCAACTCTGGTCGAGTTAATTGGGTTGGTCAGTTTCATTAGTTTGATAAATAAACCTAATTGAAATTAATTATTGTTATTTTTGTATTATAAAAAATTTATTAAAAGTAGTATATAAAATATGAATAATTATTAACTATTTAAAATGTTGAAAATATAAAACAATTGTATAA